CCCGATTACCCCCGACCCCCTCACCCCCCTCGGAGCACCCTGCATCGAAACCCCTATATCTTAACTACTGTCCACTATTTTGCGTTCCTCAGTAAACATACCTATATTTGTGGATCTTCAAGGTTTTATGATTGGGGGATAACAACTTTATAACTAAGGAAGCGGCGATACTTCGGAACGGACGCGAGCTGATTCATCATGTGTTTCGAGAACCTATGTCGTGGAACCTGTTGACAAAAGCCGAGCAGACGCGAGCGTGCTGGCTCACGGTCAACCATCACAGCCTGCACTGGACCGATGGAACGGTGGAATATCAACGCTTGAAGCCGATGCTTCAAAACGCTCTGTCATGCGTATCGAACAACGGGTCTACACTGGTGTATGTAAAAGGAGTCGAGAAGAAGCAGTAGTTGACAAAGATCGTCGGTGACGTCGTCAACGATTGTGACATCATCATCGAAACCATCGACTTCGACTACGAGGACATCGACAGTCTGCGAAATCTCGACGATTCGCGAGTTTTCAACTGTGGAAACCACTCGAGAAATTGCGCTATGGAGACGTGTGTAAACTATACGCGTGGTGGTCAACACGGAACGATACGTTGAGCGACCTGTAGCTTTGTATTGTTTCTTAACTATACTCTCTATATATTCTTAACTATATTACTCTATATATATTCATTCTTTGAATTAAAAAATTGTTATGTATAGTGCTCTATATATTCATTCTTTAAATTAAAAATAATATATATTTTATTATATATTGTTATATATATTGTCCATTTATATGTCGCTATATGTGTATGAATAAAGACATGTATTTACATATATTGTAGTGTGTGTGGCATTTTTCTATACAATTTGTTCTTATGATCTATAATTAATTTATGTTCAGGGAAGTATAAACACATATGCTCTGACGTGTCTCTCTCTTTTAGTTTTGTTTATTCACATTTTTTATTGTTTTTACATTAATGTCTATCTAGTATATATCTTTTGTGTTTTTGTACATATTTATTTTTTTCATTTTTATTATTCGGCTGCATCGTCATCCTCTGTGATCCGTTGTTGTATGTATCTTCCGTCCCGAACGATGGCCTCGGAGCTATACGTCATCGCTGTAACGTCTTCGCTACACATATGTATTTGGTGGTGTATGTTAAATCTGTAATAACATAACACACATAATAAATAACTAAATTGTATATACTTCTTCTTAATTATTATATTCATTTTATTTCTTGTATTTTATTTTATTCAATTTAGTGCATTTTATTTAATGTGTTTTTTAATATATTGTAATGTTATTCATTATATTTACTTTATTTTATTTATTTATTTATTTTTTCTTGTGACACTTACAGTTGTTGTAGCAGGATCGTCTCTTCCATAGGATTTGGCGTTATCACAAAGAATCTATCTCTCTTCCGCTTTCCGTATTTGTTTGGTTGATCTTCTTCACTTCTGTAATTTGTTTAGCCAACTGTTTTTAGCCTTATAGATCAGAGCTTCAGCAGCAGCTACAACACGGTCCGCTGCATCAACGCACTTGTCTAGTCTATCCATTGCTGTGATTTTTAAAATTTTCTACATATTTTGCTCTGCGTGCATTATCCTTTTATAGTTTGTTGCAGCGGATGCTTATCCCCAGCATGTGCATCAATTTTTCTACGAAATATTAATTTCATTACCATTATGCGGTTGGACACATTTTTGTGGATATTTACATATCCTACAGGACGTTCCAATCAGAACTATTTCTCTTAGAAACAGTACTGAGAACAGTAGAGCGTCTCCGCAATATCCGTAGCATTCTGATTAATTCTGTGCGTTATTCTTAGCGCGCGTCTTGGATTTGCGAGATCAGCCGCAACTTTCGGATGCAGCTCTATATACAACGTCTCAAGACTTCCAGAGTTTTTACGCTTTCGCTGCAGCCGTCTGGCGCGCGTTGCGGTTTTCCTTGTACTAAATATATATTGCCGTGCGTGCAACAGCTGTTTTATTTGCAATTACGTTGATGTTATTTGTTCTGTAAATTATTGCAATTGTTGCGCCCTCCCTTCTTTGATCGCCACCCGCGCGGCAATCGACCGTTATTTAATATCAGTTCGCGCGCAAAGACGATGACGTCGCTCGCGTTGTCGCTGACGTTTCTCGCGCTGTTCGTCGCGTTCGCGGCGTCGACGTCGATCGCGTTGACGAGGTCGATGACAAATACGACAAAGAGGAGCGTTGTCGATGGAGGAGAGACCGCTATCGCGTTCCTACGCAAGTACGGTTACCTAGAGGACAACGCTGAAAACTCATTGATTTCCGAGAGCGCGTTGAATCACGCTGTCTCGCTTTTTCAAGAATTCTACAATCTACCTATAAATGGTGAATTAAACGCGGAAACGATGCGCACAATGAACAGACCGCGTTGTGGAGTTCGAGACATCCAGACGCGTTACTTGAACAAGGAGTACATACACAAGTGGCCGACTACACATCTTACATGGAACTTTTTATTCGCTTCTAGAGCGAATGTACAAATAGCGGAAACTGCGTTTGCTCTGTGGGCGGCGAATTCATCGCTGACTTTTACACGCAGCGTGCACAATCCTAACATTTTGATTTCATATAAAGGTGGACGGCACACTATGTGGGATAAGCATTACTCGGATACTATGTGCCCGTTTGACTTTGATGGTCGTGGTGGAGTACTCGCTCACGCGTATTATCCCAACGGAGATCTCAACCATGTCTCTGAGATACATATCGACAATGAGGAACAGTGGCACGTGCAGCTCACTTAAAATCCATGGAATAAGGATCATCTGTTGCACACACTGACTCATGAGATTGGGCATGCTTTAGGAATAGAGCACAGCCCACACGATAATTCGGTAATGTACGCGTTCGTGCCTGTTACACTCAGCCTTGATAATGTTCTGGCTGTGCAAAACCATTATGGGCCTAACCCGAATGCACCTGAACTACCACCGGTCTCTACATTTGTCCCTCCGACGGTCACACCAACTACGACGACAACAACGACACCGCAGCCGCCATTGCCGCGTAAACCCAAGCCGCTACCACCTAGGCAAGTAGTGATACTAGGCCGGTTTTAATTCAGGAGCTCCGAGGGAAGTGCGGGGTATGACGTCACAGGGGGAAAGATGACGTCACACAGGAGAGGAGAAGGGGTGTGACGTCACAGGGGGAGGGGTAATAACGTCACGCGGGGAATGACGTCACTATGACGTCACTCGGGGGCGTAGCTATGACGTCACGCAGAGGCGTGGCTATGACGTCACGTGATATGACGTCACGCGGCAATATGGCGGAGCGAGAAATGATGTCACTTTGGCACCAGTCC